CCCCCCCCCCCGTCTCAGCACATGGCCGTGATGGTGGCTTCTTCCCCGCATAAACTGTGACTCGCCACATGCCACATTTTCGGGGAGTTTTTCCCGCCGCCACCCAATTTTGCCACACAAAAATTCCTCCATGCCAAACCATGGGACAGGTGACCCTGGAAGATAGATTATATTCCGGGGGGCCTCTCTGTCCTGTTGGTCTCTGTTGCTTGGAGGACTCGGTACACATGGGTGCCGTTGCACCCTCCAAAAAGGAATTATGTGGCATCCTCATGAAATTCACTGCCATGCAAGGTGCATCCCTGGATTAATCAGGGAGGACCCAAACCTTAGGTTTCTTTCGCTTCCAGAGACCTATGGTGGTGTCATCTGCATATGAACATGGGCAAAAAAATGATAGCATTGTATGCTAGAACCAGCGCATTTGTTCTTTCCGCATTGGATGCACTTGGTTTTGTCTTCCGAGAAGCAAAAAAGAGCAACAAAGCAAGCAGCAAGCAGCCTCAGGATTCGATCTCGGCGTCCACCATGTTATGGATGAAGAAGGACAAAGAAACCAAACAATGCCCAAATGACTCTCAGGTAAAGCAAATCTCTTACTAAGAACAGAGCATATCGACACATGCTGAGTAAATAACTTTGCTTTAAAATCTCTCCTCTGTTTTACTCTTTCCAGTCTTTATAGAAATAAATACTGACTTTCTTGCATTTAAGGTTTCAGTTTTTTTTTGTTTTGTTCAAGTTTCTGTGCTGTGTCAAAAGCGACAAGTTGAACTCGTCGGTTCCTCATCGCTGCCAGAAAACTGTGTGTTAAAAAGTATATCAAAATATGAAATTGTGGAGGTTGTGTTCACATTCCCCCCCATTCTTGTCACTCTCTCTTAGTTCTTTATTGTTTAAGATATAGAGATATAGAGATATATATCTCTTTGCTGGTTTTGAGGCATCATTTCACTCTTCAGCTTGCTAATCCCTTCCTCCTTGTGTTTTGTTGCTGCCATACTTATGACAATAGGATAAAAATTGTTTTTTTGTTTTTTTTTGGCAAAAAGGCTGCCATTCTTGTAAACATAAAGGCATCCCATTGCTGGGAGTCTGCATTTCCCAAAATGTCATGCATCTTGAACCATGGAGGGAACAAGGCATTTTGAAGCCTTCTTCTTCATAATAAATCTTGGCAAACAGGTCTCAAAAGTAGTGGTCTTTTGCTCCCAGGACAGGAAAATAAAAGTTCTGAAAGTTGTGCAGAAGTCTTGCAGAAATTATAGATAGTTTTTCAGACACATTTTTAAGAAATAAGTAATGTTGAGAGTTGGCTCCCAAAGGCAATCATTTAAGCAAGAACAAGTTTTAGCAACTCCACATTCTGGATTAAAATTTCATTTACATTTTTTAGTTTCTGAATTCCACATCTCAGCTCCCTCCTAAACATTGTATATTTTCAGGAATTGCTATCCCTGGAATACTTTATAGGAAATTGCACCCATTAGGAACTCCTTTATCAGCTTATCTCTCTGCTGACTAGGAGACTGAGCCACAGATTTAGAAATGCCAGTTTGACTCCTACCTTGGCTTTGATTTCACTTAGGCTGCATCCGCACTGTAGAAATAATGCAGTTTGACACTGCTTTAACTTCCCTGGCTCCATCCTGTGGAATCCTGGGATTTGTAGTTTGCTGTGGCACCAGAGCTCTCTGACAGAGAAAGCTAAATGTCTTCCCAAACTACAAATCCCAGAATTCCATAGCATTGAGCCGTGGCAGTTAAAGCAGCATCAAACTGCATTAATTCTGCAGTGTGGATGCAGCTCCTGACTGGAAGTCTCTCCAGAGTTTCTCAGCTGGGTTTTTCCTAGCCTTAGTTAGAGAGGCTGGGATTTTTCTGCAGGGAAAGCTGGTGCATTTATCCAATCTGAGCTTTTTTCTTTTATAGGTGTTGAGGACCTAAACCATTCCGGTGTCCTAAGGTAGGCAGAGGCACTGGTGGATGAGAGGTAGGGGTGGATAGATTTCAAGAACACTAGCTCTTCTTTGCTTTTTTGCCTACCTCAAGGCTCTGTTCTTTCCATTCAGCCGGTCTTCCCAAGAGAAAACACTGCCGACCATTCTTTGAAAAACCTGTGTCTTAGCAACAGAATAAATTATGCATCTTGGATATGATGCTGGAAGGATTCCAAATGAGTTATTTAATCCATCCGTCTGTGTTGGCTGAGCCTCTGTTGACACCACAATGTCCGCGGCAAACACTGCCCAAACTTTCCTGGAATGCCTCCGAAGCAGGAGGTCTTGGCAACATCAGCAGATGCGCCATATCTCATTACTGTGAACAGCTCCTTATTTTTATTTTATTTTTATTTTGAATTAAGGAAATTGTTCCTCTCTTTAGCTGGCTCCATTCTCTGGTGGGCCTTATTCTCATGCAACAGCAATGATGGAGCAAACTTGTGCCTGGTGCATACACAAGAGGACTAAGGATGCATCTTTGTTGTTGTGTGACTTCCTGGCAAGTTTTTTTTCCCCAGAGGGGTTTACCTTCCTCTGAGGATGAGAGAGTGTGACTTGCCCAAGGTCACCCAGTGGGTTTCAATGGCTGAGCAAGGAATCAAACTCAGTTCTCCAGCGTCATAGTCCAACGCTCAAACCAGCGGCTATACCATGTTGGCTCATGAAAAAGGTGCATCTGCATGGTCCAAATAAAACAGTTTTACCTGGTTTTCATACCAAGCTGTCCAAATAACATATGGAATGATTCAGGATGAATCTAGGCCTTTGCATCACCTCCAGAGAGAAAAAGTGGGTATTTCTCCTAGTTTTGGGTGGAAAATCTGGATATCCATGCACATGTGTGGACCAAGCTCCATAGCGATGTTGGTGTGAGGTCAGGGGGATTAGTTCAGAAATACGTACATTTGCACGCATGGAGAAAGGAAAAAAATAAATAAACCCAGAACAGCCATGACTGCATGGCCAAGCATATTGCAACTTATTGGACTGGGATGTTTTTGAAAGGGATAACTGTGTGCACAATTTGCCCAAATCTGCCTTGGGAGATTTTCACATGGGCATAAGTGACAGGAGCGTAGTGAATGCCCCCGTCACTGTCATGAAGATTATCAGACGATGTCACGATAATTGTGTCATTGTCCTGCAAATAAAGAGGAATTCTAGCACCACTTTGCATGCATGGAACTTTCCTGTGAATGAAAAGTGTTGCTAGAATTCCTCTTTATTTGTGGAATAATGATGCAATTATCATTATGTTACATGACATTGTTTGATAATTTTTGCGCAATTGCACAATAGTGATGGTATTGTATAGTATTGTTCTGTTGAGACACTAATCCTCCTTGCATATCCTCCCACCCTGAGGCCTTGCCCCAACAGAACAATATACAGATTTACATGCTAATCCTCTCAACTAAGAGTCACACAGTATATATACCCCACACACCTCCATGCCACCATTTTCTGAAGATGCCAGCCAGATGCAGGCGAAACGTCAGGAATACATTCTTCTAAAACATGGTCTCACAGCCTGAAAAACCCACAAAAGCCTATAGATGCCAGCTGTGAAAGCCTTTGACTTCACAATGGAATTGTGGTTTGGCAAGCATACTCAGAATCCTATTCTGGAACTCAATGCACCTCCCCTCTGCAAATAACTACAAAATGGAACTATTTTAGAGCTATGTGTCTGAACTTGAGGCCCCAACTAATATCCAGTTTCTTGTCAAACTGTGATATTGTCTCTGTGTGTATAATACATATAATACACCCTCCCTGATGATTACAGAGAGACAGTGTGGTGTAGTGGTTTGAGTGTTAGACTATGACTCTGGGGACCACGGTTCAAATCCCTTCTTGGTCATGGAAACCCACTGGGCAACCTTGGGCAAGTCACACTCTCTCAGTCCCAGAAGAAGGCAATGACAAATCTCCTCCGAAGAAATTTTGCCAAGAAAATCCCATGACAGGTTTGTCATAGCATCTCCACAAGTCAGAAATGACTTGAAGGCACACAACAACAACAGCAACAACAACCCCAATGATTCATTCTCAACCAGAATCTTTTTAAAAATGATTTCAATTCACTTTAAAGTACTGATGTTTTGGTGTGGTAATTCATTTAACTATTTTTTTTCTTTTTTTAAAAAAATTATAATTAGTTTTTAATTCAGATGTCTTGTTTTAATTCCTGTCGTGAACCATCTCCATCCCATTCAGAAGAAAGATGGGATAGAAAGTGAATAAATACATACTTAGAAATAAATAAATAATAGAGATAAATAAATGGAAACTTGGTAATTCAACACTTATATGAGTCCCATTGATTCAATGGTTCTGCTTTAGATAGGAGTAATATTTCAACTTAGCCCTGTACATTGCATGTGTGTCCTATCTGCCCATTTCTCTACCTAACTCTCTATCTATATTCAAGCCACCCAGCAGTGTCAAATTTGGGCACTTGCCAAGTATTGCTCTGGCCAGCCATCAAAAACGGCCACTAATAGTTGTTTCCTTTCCAGTATCTACAGAATATTCAGGAAGACTGGATGCAAGCTAAGATGTTTCTTGCGTTGCTTGTTTTGTGTCTCTAACAAATGAATAGGGACACAATAGGGATGAACCCTCTTTCTGGGATTCGGTATCATCTTCATGTTTACTTTGCATAATTTATTCTTGTCACAGAAGTGTTGGGTTTTCATGGCACAGAATATTGATGCTTCTTCAGTTTTGTTTTTTGGTTATTGTTGTTACTGACCAAGTACAAAAGTCTCAGATGATGCCAGGTTTTCTTTGGGAGGACTCCAACCCCTCACCCACACTGCTTTTCCTTTACCCTCTCTTCAGAGCAAGGGACTTGGGAACCCCATCTCAACTTTAGTAGGGGGTTGTACTAGATGACCCTTGGGATCCCTTCCAGCTTTCACAGCCTTTATGATTCTATGAATGGACAGGAAAAGGCTTTGACGGGGGGCTGCCTTGTTTTCTGATCTTTACCATCTGCACAACAGGCAGAAATTCAATGGAAGAGGTTCATGCCTCTCTCCAAAATTGAAATGCACCAATCAAAAAGACTGGGCTTGTTGACTTCCAGTTGATAAGCATACATGGCAGCTGTTCTTGGCCAAAGATTGAAAAATGCTTCCTTTTAAGTCTTTTCTCAAGGGCAACCTGTGATATCTTGAGGAATCCAAAGAAGATTACACCCAGATTTGGGCCAAAGCTTAAGTTAGGAGATTGTCAACCTGGTCCTTCCACACGGGATCCAAAAACAGCTCTTCCGATTTGGAAGTTCAACACTTTTGCTTTAGACCTTCCACCAGGGTGATACAATCCCAGACAGTACTGCATCTGAGAACCATCTTTAAATATCTGAGGTCAAGTAGAAAATGGAGTGAGCTTGCCTTCTGCTGCTCCAGCAACTAGGACATGAACCAATGCATTCAAATTACAAGAAAAGAGATCAGACCTAAATGTTAGGAAGAACTTCCTGATGGTAAGAGCTGTTCAATGGTGGGACAGATTGCCTTGGAGGACGGTGGGCTCTTCTCCTTTGGAAGTCTGTAAACACAAGTTAGATAGGGGTCTTTCAGGAGTGCTGTAGTTGTGCATCCCTGCATAGGGGTAGTTTGGTCTAGTTGGCCTTTGTGGTCCCAGTTCTATGATTCTATGGCCTTCCTGTCTTCTGATTGACAAGAATGCCCACGAGTTTCAAAGCTCCATCTTTTTCAGAAATCCAAAGTGGAGCAACATCATTTTGCCAAGAAGGGATGGTTTCTTGTTCCGTCCCTTCCCGAAGCTTGGCAGAAACTGGGAACTAGTTGATGTTTGGATGGAGTGGTTTATCTGGAGGGTCTTTTTAGGATAAGAAATCCCTGGGAAATACTGTCAGATAGAATTTCCAACTCTTTGTCAAACCAGAGTGGTGACAGCGATATCACGATTGATGGTGGAGGTTTGCATCAAGAGTAGGAACATCTCTTGTGTGCTGTTCAGCTCCATGGTCCCACCGAGGAATATATCATTTGTGAGTACTGTCTTCCAAAAGATAGAGAGGTTGTTTTCCTTGGGTTGGAAAAGGCCTTGTGAAACCACAGTGCCTCTGAATTATCAGCAAAACGTTTTATTGCCTGTGCAAGATACTTTAAAGAACTTCTAATTTCAAAGATGGAAGCCAACTAGGCTTTGGAGATAGGACCACATTTGCCTTCCTGAGTGATTTCCAAGCTGCCAAGATGAGACACGACCCTACAGTAGGCATCTTGGGGTTTTCATTTTATGTTTGAACATCCAGTCTTATGGGAAATTTTCCTTTCCTTACTTCAGCTTTGCCCTTTCTTTAAAAAAAAAATGAAACCAAAATGCAATAGAAATGCTCGATTCCTCCACTTCTCCACAAGAGGAACTTCTTCATCGTTTCCCCCCTCAAGTCCCCAAGAAATGTCAGTTCAGAAAGTGACGAAACAAGACTGAGACTGTAGAAAGGAATTCAATCTCAAGCGACGCCGGCAGAGTTTTTCACAGCTCTTCTGTGGATGGAAGGAACAATCAGTCATTTCAGCACAGAAGAGCAAAGCAAGGTATGACCGAGAGTCCGGCTTATTAATCACTCTCAGCTGTAAGTTACTGAACTTCTCAAAGAGGGGGAAAAAAAGGAACTTTGAAGAGAAAGGATTGCTCTGCAAAGAAAAAAGATAAAGGCTGTCGCAAGGAGAAGGTTTCACAGCTGCCTCTGTAAGAAGAGAGAGAATGAGAGGAGAGGACAGGACAAGGGGGACAACCTCCCTGGCAGTCTGGAGAAATCCCTTGTTGTTGATTTTTCTTTTTTTAAATATGTAGCACCATCGTTTCGACACAATACACCCTACCCTCCGTCAGGAAAAGGAGCCCGTCGCTTGCCTTCCTGAAGGCCTACTCAAAAAGGCTGGTCGCTCTCTAAAGCGCCGGTTCAGAGAACGGAGGCTTGCAAGCCTACCGGTGTTGGCTCCAGGGTTGTCTTTTCACAGCAGGCGGACGGAAGATGTAAGCTGCAATTTCCACCTCTTTCTTGCAAAGGTTAACAGCCTGCTTCCACCTTTATGTGTAAAATCTTTGAAAAGCCTGGCCTCTTCTTCAGGGCCTGGAGGGGAAGGGAAGAGAAGGGGTTCGGTGAGAAAGAAAGCATTGCAATTCACAGGTACAGGTGAGAGTCATAGTATCATAGAGTTGGAAGGATCCCATGTCCTCACCAACTGCACAGGTGAATGTGGTGGGATGGAGAGAGCCTGAAGAACTTAAAACTCAAGAGGACTCATATAGAATGATTTAGGCTTTCAGATAGCCTGTACCCAAGCAGAATTGGCCTTTTAAGATCATCACTAGCACACTGCGTTTTGCTCAGAAACAGGCCAGTGAAGCAATTTCAACTCCAATCCATCAACAGTGGGTTGAACAAGACATTGGTTTTCTGGCCCACTCCAGATATTATAACCCTGGTTAACACCTCAACCTCAAGAGGATGCTCTTAGCCAGTTCATCACATCTCCTTTCTGGTTCCCATTCTGCATATGCTATTTTCCAAAACTTCTTCCATCATTCATATTGCCATCCACCCACCTTGGCCTTAGGCAACATCCTTCCTCATGTCTTTGTCCCTCAAAAACCATAATTTAAAATGGATTTGTCACCTTATCACCATACCCACAAATTTTGCATGTTTATGACTATTCATACAGTCTGTTTATAAAGGTCCTTCCTGGTCACCAGTTCACTCCATGCATCTACAGAAGTAGACTAAGGTCCAAAACATACTGCAGAAATAAGCCAGTGTGAGACCACTTTAACTGCCCTGGCTCAGTGCTAGGAAATCCTGGGAACTGAAGTTTGTTGTGGCACCAGAGCTTTCTGACAGAGAATGCTAAATGTCTCATAAAACTACGGTTCCCAAAATTCCCTGGTATTGAGCCAGGGCACTTAAAGCCGTGTCAAACTGGATTATTTCTGCAGTGTGTTTTGGATCAAGGTCTACAAAAGTCTCAACAGTACTTTGCAAAGGAGTTTTATCTTCCCTGTAACTAGCCTTTATTTTCTTCCTTCCCTCCTCTACCCCATGGGTTTCTGGAGAACCCACACTTTTGCAGAATCTACTGCAGGGGCTTTTTTGCTATGAAGCCAAGGGCCACACATTTTCCCTGGGACCACCCTTTGCTTACATGCAAGCCTACTGTTAATACAGTCAAATCATCACAATGAGAAGCACGCTAGGGCTTATATATCATGGAAGCCACAAACTCATTACCTGAAGTTTGTTAACCATTTCCTCAAACATCTTCCTGGCCTCGGAACTATTTGGTTCCTTAAAGTAGTCAGCAATTCCAACTTGCACCACAATGGACTTCAGGTTCCGACAAACACCTTCAAGGAGAGAGAACCATCTTTAATCTGATGCTTCAGGGATGGGACAGGTGAGGAAAGCAGTATTCCAACACAAAATTGATTTGTTGTTGTGACATGCCTTCAAATTGTTTCCACCTTATTGTAAACCGAAGGTAAACCTTAGGATTCTGTGGATGAGACATCTCCCACCCCTTCTATCCTCTACTACTTCACTCAGGTTCTGTACATTCATAGTTGTGCCCTCCCTAATTGAGTCTGTCCATCTATCATGCGGTCTTTCTCTTTTTCTACTACCTCCAGCTTCCCTAGCATTATGGTCTTTTCTAATAAATTGAGTCTTCTCATGAAATCAATTTAGTCTTTTTGGCTTCCAGGGAAAATTCAGGCTTGATCTGTTCTAGGACTCATTTGTTTGTCTATCTGGCCATCCACAGTATCCTCAGCACTCTTCTCCAGCACCACATCTCAAATGAATTGATTTTCTTCTTA